TGTTTTAATAAGTTAAGTTTAAGGATGTGTTTTGACATTTACATTATCAGAAACAAAGTAGCGAGCACCTAGTAGCAGTAGCCGTCATAAATATTATTAAATGTCAAAATACAAAATGAGTTACATAACTGGAAAGGGGCATAATTTAAAATACTCACCAACGTTTGTACATTGCACTGTCATTTTTAACAAATATTAAACGTGCATAAAGAAAATAATGTATACTGCAATGATACTGAAATTATTAAAATAAAGTACCTATACAACTATCACACTGTTCTCATTTTATTTATTTTGAATGTTATCCTTATTTAAAACCACGTTACACTGATATTTTATTTCTATCCGTTCAGAAATGTAATCACAATTTATAAATGTTTTCTTTTTCCATCTAACTAAGCCGATTATCTTCCACTTAGGAGTAAATGATTTCAATAAATGGGTTACAATGAGTTCAGCTTTAAAACATCCTCTGATTAAGTCATGGTCACTTGTCGTGTAATGAAAAAAACACAATATAAAAATATTTATTCAATACTACAATTCTTGTCGATGACCATGTTACCAAAAAACTAAATAAGTCTAAAAAATAATAATTTTTAGCACATTTGAACCATTTTCTGCGGAAAATAAACTTGAATTTTAAATATTCTGATTTTATATTATTTATCTATACAACATTTATTTTTATACACTTTAAATATTTCTATTGGTATTTATTCCTTAAATAATATATTTTAACTAAATATACTTTGATAACATATTTGACCGTATAATAATTAATATCTAACAAAATAGTCAGTGGTCAATAATTTATCAGTTATTATTAAACATCATATGTGATTAATATGTAAAAAATGCACTCAAATATCAAAAACAGACAAGTGTAATATTATTGAATACTTAACAACGCCAATTATTATAATTATTATTAGTATTAGTTGTATTCTTTATGGCTTAATTGAGAGTAACGATACAGGAATACCTCCCCTCATTTTATTTTACAAAACTATTATAATATAATTATTTAAAATAATAACTATTGTATGGTATACTATTGTATTGTTTATTGTTATATATTCCTTTTTATAAACATAAACGCGCATATAATATAATACCGTGAAACTTCCATTTAACAAAATATTTTTGAGAACCACAACTAAATAAGAAATGCAATAATTATTTAATTCTATTTAACCAATTTCTTTGTAATAGGAGTTTATTTTGTTGCCCGTTGAGACTTTACGATATAAAAGTTGCATTGTATATATACATTTAATTACATTATTTAGTTATATGTTTTTTTTTTATTTACTCAAATGAGAGCATCTTTTCAAAAAGACCTTTAGGTAAATAAATACAAAGAAGTTTTTAAAAGAATAAAAGTACAATTTTTACCGATTCAATAAAAACACATGAAAAATTGTTTCTTTCCTTAAACATTGGTCAAATCACCCTTAATTTGTAAATAAATTAATTTAAATTGTATTTAAATACTTTTAACATTTGTGTTTACCGAAATAATATTTATTTTTATTTTTAACTATTTTATTTTACATGTAGATACTTAAAACGTTATGGGGTTATAGGTTATCAGTATTATCACTATTTTACGAAAAACACATACAACGTTCACTGTGTAAGTCAATATACAATTCGTCTGAGCACCACCGAATGCTTAAACATAGATCACGACCGTATATTTGATTTGTTTAAATATTCAATTCATTTATTTACTATTAAAGTTTAGACAAACTGTATCTAATCAAGATAGTACGGTAATATAATATCTACAATAATTTATTTAAATAAACTATAATTATCATAAAAGGTTTCGGATGTCTACCAATGTTGTATTATATTAAATTCTTAACATACATGTTTACACACATTATAGATTTATATAATTTTATAATGATGTGTCGTTTTATATCGTTAACGAAAAGCGACTAATGAGTATAACATTATTATTTGTTTGTGTAACAACGACACTCGTTTATTCGAAACGCACATAATAAATGCACGAAAACTCTCACGCATGATGAGGTCGAATAATACGAGTGTAATAATGGGTACAAGTTGAATAATATTTGTATGGCGACGGTTGAAAACACGTATGTAATGATATTCACATTATAAAACCACATAGTTTTATAATTAAATATCATAATATTACTTATTATTTCATCTTAATGCTTAAGTAACTAACCATATCCATAAACAATATTACAATACCTAATCAAAATTATATTATTAATATTTATATTTATAATTATACTATATATTACAGTATCTAACAAATTACCAATAACACTCATTAAATATGTATACTTAAAAACTACAATAATATATTAAAATAATTACCAAACAATTAGTAATGATATAATATTTGTTTATTAAGTAATTTATATCATAAAAAACATGTTTTTTTATAATACAAATGTATTTATACAAAATAAAAAAATAACAAACTAAAACGAAACAACAGGTAAAAGATCAAGTCTATAAGTAGAACCCCAATTCTGACATTAAAGTCAGTCAAGTCTCCATCAAATATTCTGTCTCCACCGAGTATTCTGCATCTAGTCATCAACTTTTCCTCACAAAATCTCACCGCGGTTATTCTCAAAAACAAGAGATAATTGATTCAAGAGGGTAAATTAACCTTTCACTCATTGTAAAGTTTTGAATTAATGTCATAAACCATTATTAGAACTATTGTTTTTATTTTATTCATTTAATGTATGTTAAATTCACATCTTAATCCTATTGACATCTGGTTATCAACGGCCATCAGGTAAGATAATTAATATAGATATATACTTTAGTATATCAAGGGCAAAAAGAATATTATCATTAGAAATAAAAATAATACACGTACACTCTGGAGTTGCAAGGAAGGTAAAAATAATCAATATTAATAAATCTGTATCTGTGATCCCGAATAAATCGTAATAATATATACTATATAGGCTTTAATAAATAATAAACGAAGAGGCAAAAGAACGTCGACGCTCTTAGCTCAATCCTTTATGTTTAAAGAAGCCTAATTATAAAATCTAAAAAGTTAATATATTATTATGAAGTAAAATTTCATCAATAACACTGGACAAATTTATTTTTGATTCATTACTCGTATGATATAATATAATAATAAATAATAATATACGTGTAAAACGTGCTGTGTGAGCAGGTACGCAAAAGGTCGTTAGCAAAAATAAAAAAACCTGTAGTAAATTGTCTAATGTGCTTTTAAGACTTGATAAAAAAATTTACGAATCAAAAAAAAATGTATTCGCTGTGCAAGTTACGTACACGCGAACATTCGCTATCGCGCAGATTAGACTTTACGAATTCGCTCATTGCAAAAACAAAATAATACAATATATATAATATATATATATATATATAAATTTATTTATTGCATATTTTCGGCGCATTGAAAGACGATAACAATTGCAGAAACGTTATAGCCTTGTGTACACATATTAAACGTATTTTTTCTTTCTTTCTTCTTCTCGTCAGATGATCTCACAGTCGATCGAATGGATAGACGCGACTGCGTGTTTTTCGTCACGCACCGCGTCCACGAAAAGTTTAAAGTCCCCCTACCTTGATTCGTAGAGCGGATCAAACGTATACATACTTGCACGCAACGACGACGACAACCAGAGATAAAACACTTACCACAATATACATTAATGCCCGGTTCATTGCAGCTACGTCGTCTGTCGCGTCGTGTACCTTTTATCGTATTCTGATTGACCATTACAATAATTATGGTATCAGTCACTAATCGTGATCTACTGGATAATTTTTATAGTTGCAGAGTGCAAATCTCAACTTTAAGACATGATCCGACTGACGATTTAACGGCTGTAATCTCGCGACTTTAATCGATCTTCTAACACCGCGGTTAGTTTACTATTACAAAGCTGTCGGCACGGATATAGAATGGTACAACTAAATAGCAGACTTTCTCTAAAACCACTACAAAATGTTTTAAAGCAAGGAAAATGACCGACTTTACACAACCGTGTTTACAAATTTCGCTACAATGATAACAGCCGAATAAAAAAAATCTCGCTTATTTATTTACTTTTATGATTGCCATAATATCACAGCACAATGAAAACATTTTAATCACAGTCTTTGATTAGAGCAGTCATTTTACTGACTCCTACATTAAGTCTAAGTCGGCTATGTAATTGTATTAGAATATATCTGTGATCGTCGCCATATTCAATGTGAATATATTATATGTATGTATATGTGTATATGCGTGAATGTGTATTTGGAACGCTACAGTTTCCAAACTTTTTACACATTCCTCCGTAAGCCGGCGAAATCCAAAAACAAATATAACTCGAACGATCCAAATTTTTGAGCGCGTTTATCCTATTTTCTCATTCACTAAATATTATTATTCAACAAAAATCATCATTGTCAATTATCCACAAGTAAGACTTGCCAATCCTACACTATAATATGTCAAAATGTACACAAATAAAAAAATTTAAAAGTATCGTTATCCTAATTTTATTCCTCTTTCGAAACACCAACTCATTATAGCCGCTCGCCTGTAAGAATACTTTTCAAAAATAATCTTTATTTTGTTCAAAATACTTACACAGCATTCCAAAATTCTTATAAATATTGTTTTCCTGAAATCTATATTTACAAATTACTAAGTTTTCGATGCGTTCAAATATTCGATCCAAATAATTTTTAAAAGATATTTCATCCAATTACATGGAATTATGGAGTAGTACTCATCTATCACAATAATATATAAAATAATATTTTATGAACTAAGTATTTAATAACGAAAATATGACCCTCGATCCAAGTGCAATGTGTCGGAGATGATATGTGGTACCTAAATGGAAACATGAATAGGCTACCATATACAGGAAATGTATCGTTAACGCTTTCAGAATTAACACCGTTTCCACCGTTATAATATCGGACGACATAATATTATCTATTCGACAGTGATTGTGCGCGAGAGTCGTCGCGTCTTACGTCTTGTGTCACATATTTTATAAATTCGTCTACAACTTTATAATTCTCGAGTCATCCACCGTTCGATTATCGATAGCAACTTTACGTCAGATTTAGGTATACTAGTTATAATATTATCATATAATATAGTGTCATGATATCTCCATTGTTATCGTTGTCGGATCACTGTTGTCTTGATAGCAACCGCCGGAAGTAACGCCCGGAAACTCACTCGAACATGGACAATAATAATACTGTCGTTGTTCCGGCCGTCGCCCGTCGCCGCTATCGCCGCCGTGTCATCAACTACGCAGGTGAGAAACGCGAGCGTGTAAGTCGATTTCGGCGGAAAGTTCGTCGTCGAAAAATTGTTTTTCTTTTTTTTTTATTTCAGAGGGGAAAAATCGATAAAAAGTTTAAAAACGCATCAACGTCTCATGCTTCAAAAAATTCGAAAAATGGTGTGATAGATGTATAATAATATTATTATAATATAGGACTGGCAGACAGACGTATTCCGCGACGATCTGTCAACGACATATCTATCAAACGACAATCAGACAATTTTATATTTTTTTGGATATTTTTAAGTTTCCCAAAACGCATTTCATATTTTTTAACGAACGCCAGATTGATTTTCTAGACGGATTTATTATTGGTACGTTTAAGTTTACATTTTACATTACGTAATTCGAAGCGCTTCAGTTAACATAATATGAAAAGGAATTTTTTATTATTTTTTTGTTAAAGTATCATATTTTTTTCTTTTTTTAATAACAACAATGTTTTAGATTTTTTTTTATTTCGTTGATGGTTACCGAAATTTTCAATTATATTTTATGTACAAATTATATTAATGATTGTACTATTTTTAATGTTATTTAAAAGTAAAACGTGGATTTAATTATTTATTTTTTATTTCCACAGAATTTAAATCTGATAAAAATATAAAATAATATTTTGTTTTCGTTTTTGGTAAATTATAATAGTAAAAATATAAGCACTAAAATTTTAATTTTTTTTCAAATAATATGTCATTAATAAATGACAACATTGTTTTAGTGCATTCGGGTTATGCTTAACAACATAAAAAAAAATCCACTTAATAATAAGTTAAAATATTAGTGTTTTTCCTTAAAAAAAGTGTACCCATAATATTTTATACATTTTTTTTGTTCACGCCCACAGTATCTAGTCCGTGACTTTTGTGCTTTGTTTTTTTTTACAATAAAATATTATGCCTTCGTCAATAATAAATTATTCATAAAGTGTCATAAGACGACTTCAAAACCGTGTTTATCGATTTACACGATTTTCGGTAAAGTTGTCATAACCTCTGGATAACACGGGATTCGTTAAATTATGTTTATCTGTTCATATTCATGCGATGCGAATATTTAAAATCAACGCATATTTACAGAGCACCTAATACCTATCTGTGCAATACCCATAGACAGTTCGCATAATTTTGTTTTTTTCTTATTCTTAAAATTTGCCAGCTCGATATTGCAATCGAATTACAAGGTTCAAACTCTGTTAATAGTATAATGTATAAACCCATTTCTTGTCACGTTTATTTCATTCATATTATGACACCTTGTAAAATCAATTATTCGTTTGTATAAAAACGTAAAAACGCGTTGTTTGTTCTTTTGACATTTTTAACTAATAAAAAAAGTAATGATAATAATGCACACCATCAGAAATTCAAATAAAAATCGCCGGATTTGGGATTTCGTACATATATGATCATCTGAGTAAACTCCTATAATCTTGATATTAATATTTTAGTTTTTTTAATTTTTATATCTCTTTATGTTCCGAATTATTTAAACGCCATAGTAGATAATCTGACTTAAAACATTTTTAACGCCCTCGACGTTTAAAACTACCGTTCTTAAATATTATTACTATGATATTGTAATGGAAAATAAAGATAAGAAATAATAAACGTTACGAAAACGAGAAAGTTGTGATGAATGTATAATGTAAGAAAATTAAACAGAATTATAAAGTACATAATATAAGATACATATTATGTAGATGGACTATCTATATTAGATAATTGATAATAGAAAAATAACTTTTGAGAATTTTTAACTATAATATACTAATACTAGAAGAAAACTTGCAAATTTTCTATATTCTATCAATTGATGTTGACAGAATTTGAGAAAAAAGAATAAGTAGCAAATGTAATTAAACACAAAAAAACTAACTTGCGTATAGTGTTTGAATGTACTTTTAATAATAAATTCCCAGAAAAAAGTGTCAAGTTTAGAGACCGATAAGACAAACACTTGGCTAAATAATAACTATACATTTTATAAAAATAAAAATGACAAAACAGAAAGAAGATCCTTTTTACAAATTAGTGTTGCTCTCTTCAAGGACTTTTAAAAAGAGAAACGATTCTTTAATTTGAACTTTAACGCTATGTTTTTAGATTAAAGAAAGACATACGACTGCAGTTTTTCTTCTCTATAGTTTTCATCTCTGTGTAAAACGTGAAATGTAATTTTAATTTTATTAGATTTTTTTACTTAAAAATAGTGTAGTAGAAACTACGATAAAAACGATTCGTTACTTTTTATTTCTTCCTTTGTTGTAAAAAAATACATATTATGTTGAGAAATTTTCTTCAATTTAACAATTGAAAAAATTGTATAGATGCTCTTATTTTTAAACCACATATTATAGTAAAATAATATTATTAAGACCATTTTTCTCAGCTATAATATATGAAAATTGTTGATTATTTTTAAAACTTTTATATATTTATTACTATAGGTACATATATCGAAAAACTAACCCCAAATTAGCAAACATTTATTTAAAAAAAAAATTATATCAATAAGCTTGTCAATTTAAATTTAAAACATGCACGTTCGTTCATGATGTCATATAGAACACAATAATATTCGACAGTTTTATAAATGGTTTGACCAGAAATTCGTTAAAAGAGAAAAGAGTCCAATATGTACTCAATAATTTCTTTTTTTTATTTGATCTCCTTACACAACTATACGTTTAGCTTACGTAACGATCAACAGATAAACATAAACTTAACTACCTAACTTTTTAACTTATAAATGTATTTTGTGTAATGCACAAAGTCATAAAGCAAGCAAAAGTATGTAATAAATGCCAACTTATTTATTGGGTAAATTATAATATTCTACCAGTATAAAGATAATGTTTTATTAAATTATGAAACCAATATCAACTGTTAAAATTTTCTATAATAACACTGATGTCTGATAATGTATTATGTTAGGGTGGGAAAACGTGAGTTGGGTCCCGAGATATTTGATCCCTTGAAAAAAACATGAGTTGGGTCCACGGTGTAATTCGAAAATACTCGAATTGGGTCCAACGTAATTTGCTAATATTTGGGCATCCATTGAAGGGATTACGATGGGGTACTTACCCACTCCCTGGAAAATTAATATGATCTTATTATAAGTATTACTGTTTTAGATATTATCTAATTACCTAAAGAGCATACAAATTATTTTTTTCTTCATCACTATGGGGATTTGAAATAATACAAATATTTATTACTAAATAATTTATAATATTTTTATTTTTTTTAATTAATCTAATTAGATTCTAATAAATACCTTAACGTAACAAAAAACAAAATTTTTGGGTGACATTTTAGCCAACCTCCACGTGATTGATGTCTCCTGGGTAATACAAATAGGCTAGTCCCAACTCATGTACTCTTCAAAATATACCGGGACCCAACTCATGTACTCTATAAACTATACCGGAAACTAAATCATGCTGTTTTTGAAATCTGAGACCCAACTCGAGTTTGTCCGTTAGGGTCTAGAGTCTAGAAAGTACGTTTTATGTTTATATTTATAATAAAACTAAAATTAACCACAAGTTTAAATAAAACAGTCAAATCTAGTCTTAACTGATAAGCATATATTCAAACTCGTATTACCTGATAAAAATAATAATTCAGCCACCGCAACTTTTTTAGTATCCACGCCAACATCGGTGTCACAGTGTTTCACCAATGCGATCGTCTTCATTGTAGTTATTGTACTTACGTGTTTTTGTAGCGCACCGCCCGTTTTCTAGGTCAATTTTTTTTCTTGACTATGGTGACGTTCGTTGGTATTCAAAATAATTGTTGTATCACTGTATATTTTAATTTCATATCGAACACTGAAAGAGAAATAAGTACCCGAGAACGGTATTTTAAGAAGCTTATGGAATTGATGGCAGGAAAAAAAAGACATGCACATGGAAAAAATTTTATAGAACAAGTAATTTTGACGAATTTCGGGTTTAAACTGTAACATATATATTTATATATTATAACTCTAATGGCGGGTTGCACCAAATATGTACATAGAGATAAATTTGTTTAACTGAAGTTAAAATAAAATCTGTTTCATAAACCATGTTTTAAATATTATCTGTTGTTAAAAATTTACTTTATCACCAGTTAAATTAGAAGATGATTTATCGTCGTGTAAAATTTTATGTATCGTTAAATTTTGTTATCCATGTTTTGTGATATGATATCAACTTGTATTACAGATACCATTTATTTGATAACCAGTTTATTGGTAATAACCTGAATATAATTAAATATTAAACAACACTTTTAGATTTAACACATGTTAATTAAACAAATGTTAGTTTATCATTAGATTAAAATTTAACAGTGGAAAAATTAATTTACTGATAGATAACAACAAGTTTGGTGCAACCAGGCATAAAACTATGAAATTTTTAAAAATATAAATTTTAAAAAAAATTCTATTTATATGTCATTTTTTATTTGACTTAATATTTTTAATTATGATATTATGAAAACATTGTTAATGTTAAAATTTCAATAAACTACCTATGTTGAAGCCAGTAATTAAGGTGCGTAATTGCCGCCACCAATCCACACACACACACACAAACACACACAAACATAAATTATTTTCGTTATATTGTTTATTTTATTTTAATTGTGTTGTGAATTATATATAATCTCATTATTGTCCTATAAAACGTATCGGCGCGTCATCGCAGGCCGCCGTGAATTCTTGTCTTTTGCCATACGTCGTCGAGCGAAGACCAAACGTCCGCATTTTTTATATTATTATTATCCGTTGAGAAAATCGACGTTATATTTTTTTATTCTATTATTGTGAGCGCGAATCGCCACTAATTTATTACACTTATATTGTGTGCGAAAATCGTAATCTTGTTTTATTAATTTTTGTTTTGTGCGCGAATCGTCAATTTTTTATATTTATTTGAATATTTTTCTCTTTTTTTTATATTTCTATTCGTGTTG